AGAATGCCACTGGGGAGGGCAACCTGTTACAAGCACCTTACACTTGGAAGTGTTAAACTTCATCTGGTCCCAGTCTGCCCAACTCTCAAGCCTGTCCAGGTCTGCCTGTATCAGCAGCCTATCTTCTGGTGTGGTCACACTGCCCCATAACTTGGTGTCATCCGCGAACTTGGCCAGTGAGCTTTTCACTCCCCCATCCAAATCATTGATAAAGATGTTGAAAAGCACTGGTCCTAGCACAAACCCCTGAGGGACACCACTGGTCACTTTGTGCCAGGATGACAGATCTGTTTATGAAAACTCTCTGGGGCCTACACTGTAGCCAGTTTCCCACCCACTGAACCATTGAACAGCTGAGCCCACCATCTTCCAGTTTTCCCACAAGGATATTGTTGGATACTAGGTCAAAAGCCTTTTGGAAGTCTAGATATGTAATGTCTACCCTGTCTCCCATGTCAAGGTGGTGAGAGACCTGGTTGTAGAAGGAGATGAGATTGGTAAAACAAGACCTATGTATGACAAAACCCATGCTGGCTGTCATTCAGAATCTTACCTTCTGCGAGCATATCACACACAGATTCTTTAATGAGCTTTTCCAGTATTTTCCCTAGGATAGGGGTTAGGCTGACTGGCCCATAGATGCCTGGGTCCTCCCTCTTCCCCTTCTTGAAGATGAGCACAGTGTTGGCCTTCTTCCAATCCTCAGGGAATCTCTCCTGTGCACCATGAACCTTTGCCAGAGGTTCCGCGATGACCTCAGCCAGCTCCTTCAGCACTTGCGGATGGAGTCCATCCAGTCCTGCTGACTTATAAATGTCTAGCTTTTCTAGTTCGTATTGCACCCACTCAGCATCCACAGTGGGGAGACTGTCAGTCCCACCATGCCCCTTATCAGCCTTATCTCACTTTAATTTCCCCATAGTCCAGTGAAATACCGAAGCAAAGCGGGCATTCAGGAGTTCAGTTTTTTCCTGAATGTCGGTTACCAGCTGTCCCGAGGTGTTAAACAGGGGTCCCGCCCTTCCATTTATTTTCCTGACATGCCTAAAGAAGGACTTCTTATTGTCCTCGACTCCTGTGGCTAACCTAATCTCAGTCACCACCTTGGCTTTCCTGATCACTTCCCTACAAGTGCTGGCCCCTAAAGTATAGTCCTCCTTGAGGACTGTCCCTAGCTTCCACTGTGTGTACACCTCTTTTTTCATTTTTAAGAAGACTTCAATATCCCTATTAAGCCAGGAGGGCTTGCCAGACCTCCTGCTACCTTTCCTCTTTGCAGGAACGAACGGTGTCCTTTTGTGCTTTAAGGATCGTGTCCTTGAGCAACAACCACTCTTCATGCACCCCATTTGCTTTCCCTTCCTGGTCCTTCATCGCCTCCCCCACTAATGCTCTGTGCCTGTTGAAGTCAGTATTCTTGAAGTCCAGGACTTCAATCCTGATGGTTGATTTGTCGACCTTGTGGCAGATGGTGAACCTGATCATTTCATGGTTGCTGTCACCCAGGTTACCCTCAATGTTCAAGCCACACACCAGAGTGTTACCTCTGGTTGGCCCTTGCACTTCCTGGGTCAGAAAGAGATCCTCAATCACAGTCAGGAAACTGCATGAATGATCTGACCTAGCAAAGTGTTCCTCCCAATCTATGTCCGGGTAATTGAAGTCACCCATGACAACCAAGTCCCTTGTGTGTGCAGTCTCTGTCAAAGAACTCCAGATTCAGCTCCTCCCCTTGGTTTGGTGTCCTGTAGTAAATGCCCACAGTTTAGTCTGTCTCAACTCACCTCCCCTTGCTAGGAGCATGGGAAACAAGCAGGATGAACTAGCGCTCCTGCTTGCACTAAACACCTATGACTTAGTGGGGCTAACGGAAACCTGGTGGGATTCATCCCATGACTGGTCAGTACATTTTTGCATGTTGCCAATGCTGCAGGTGACTTCAAACTTAAACCTTTACTCAGGTACCATTCAGAAAACCCCAGAGCTTTCAAGGGACATTCCAAGGCATTTCTCCTAGTGATATGGAAATGCAATCCTAAGGCTTGGGTTAATAAGAACATTTTTGAGGATTCATTTAATCATCATTTTGTGCCAAGTATCAGGGATTATTGCAGCAAAGACAATCTTGCATTTAAAGCGCTGTTAATCTTCAACAATGCTCCTGGTCATCCAACCATCTTTGATGCCATGAATCCTGACATCAAAGTTGTGTTTCTGCCCCCCAACACCACCTCATTGTTGCAACCCATGGACCAGGGGGTAATTGTATCCTTCAAGGCCTACTATGTTAGGCACACATTTGCCCAGGCCATCAGAGCAATTGAGCAGGAAGGTGGACCAACTCTGAAAGAATCCTGGAAGGGCTTCAACATTTATCATGCAGTTAAGAACATTGGTGAGGCATGGAATGAAGTCAGACAATCAAATTTGAATGATGTTTGGAGAAAATTGTGTCCTAAAGTTTGTGTCTGACTTCCAAGGCTTTACAGACACTATTGAAAAGGTAACCAAAAATGTTGTTGAAATGGGCAAAGAACTTGACTTAGACGTTGCACCAGATGATGTTGATGAATTGCTGGCATCACATTCTGAAGAATTAACCAATGAGGACCTCATTGAATTGGAACTGCAAAAAGTGGCAGAGGAAGAAGATGCACCCACTGTCGAAGAGACTCCTCTTCATAAAGTCTTGACAACAAAAGTGTTGGCTGAGGCATTTCAGCATTTGGAAGCTGCCATGTCCCTGTTTGAGGAACACGACCCCGACATTGAACGCAGTGCATCAGTGAATAGGAACATATCCAGCATGTACGGTGCTACAGAGAAATGTACAAGTAAAAGAAGAGAACATCTGTCCAAACTTCCTTGGACACTTTCTTTAAGAAAGCAGACAAGTCTCCAGGAAAACCTGCAGCCAAGATGCCTGAGAAGACTCCAGCCAAGAACCCTTCAAAAAGTCCAACCAAGAGCCCTTCAAAAAGTCCAGCAAAGTCACCTTAAAGAAGTCCTTCCAAATCAATTATTGCTATTTACAGTATAAATACATAAATAAATACATATAGACAAGTAATATAGCTACATTTATTTATTTTATATAATTGATTCAGTCCTGAACAAAATTCTGGGTTATTTTGGGTGAAAATAGGGTATCAGGCCTTGGTTCAGGAACCAATCCTCCATTTATTACATTGTTTCCTATGGGAAAATTGGTTCTGACTTGCAACATTTCGACTTAAGACGTGGTTTTGAGGAACCAATTGTACCGTAAGTCTGAGGACTGCCTGTATAGTTAAAATTCATTGAAAGCTCATGCGTGGACATGAAAAGTTGAAGACTTTTTTTTTTTAGTGGGGGGGAAGGGGAGAGGCAGGACACTAATAGCCATAGATGTCCATTACTCATCATAATGCAGGTTTTTTTTCTTCTACAGCATCTGAAAAGTAATTTTGTCTTTCATGAAATTTCACTCAAAATACCCTCTTCCTAAGAGCCTCTCATTTCCTAACATTCCCAACTGGAACAAAGTTGTAGAGCTACCAGTAACAAAGTTGTCTTCTCAGAATGGCCACTGCCATTTAAGTTTCACCTTCCCCCTGAATTTTCTGGTTTGCAATGCTTAGTTTGAGCTAATTACACTCCTGGAAATTTTTACCCTTAATTTATTTATATGAATTCAATCTTAACTCTGATTTAATATCATTCTTATCTGGGAATCTGAATGGTGTTTATATGGGTAGTACTGAAATTCAGACCAGGATCAGAAGACTAGGAAAGAAGATGTGTTTTTTTTTATTAAAAGTAGACATGCCTAAGAAAGGCATGGAAAGGGATCTTGGAGTCCTAGTGGATTCCAAGATGAACATGAGTCGGCAGTGTGACGAAGCCATCAAAAAAACCAATGGCACTTTATCGTGCATCAGCAGATGCATGACGAATAGGTCCAAGGAGGTGATACTTCCCCTCTATCGGGCACTGGTCAGACCGCAGTTGGAGTACTGCGTGCAATTCTGGGCACC